ATTATTCCTTGTCTGGTCTACAGGTGCTTTAGAAAATAGCTTGATCCCTTCCTCTCTCTGGCAGCCTCTCAAATATTGGAAGACTGCTATCATGTCACTCCTGATCCTTCTCTTTATTAGACTAGACAAGCCCAGTTCCTGCAACCATTCATTGTATGTTTTAGCCTCCAGTCCCCTCGTCATCCTGGTTGCTCTTCTCTAGATAATCTCCGGTCTTCTTTTGTTTCTGGATTCACACACCATGGAGTAGTTCTTATTTGATTCTCCTCCTGAAAGAATGTAATTAGCTAGATCAGGGATCTGCAACCTGTGGTTCTGGAGCCACATGTGGCTCTTTCAGTCCTCTGCTGTGACTCCCTGTTGGCTGATCCCACCACTGGCTGGGCTCTCCCTTCCCCTCCCCATCACTCGTCACCTAGCCTGAGAAAGGAAGGGTGGTGGCAGGGGATGGAAACTCACTTCATATTCCAGAACAGGAGGTGACTGGGCAGGAGTGAGTTGGCCATGCCCACCCGGTCACTGGTTGTTAAAATATTGGCTAACAGTGTTTTATTTTCTGTGGGAAATAGGTCCATATGGCTCTTTGAGTGGTTTAAGGTTGCAGACCCCTGAGCTAGATGATAAACTTTGCCTAGTTCTATAGTGATTTTCAACCTGTGGTCCATGTACCCCTGCGGGGCCACGATGTTGTCACAGGGCCCCCACAAAGACTTGAAGCAAACCATGATTTAAATCTTGAATTAAGTCTGTGGCCATGGTCCATTGGCCACAAGAGGTATTTAAATGCGGTTCATGGTGAAGAAAAGATTGAGAACCACTGCTTTCCTTAAATAAATCTTTTTTCCTCTTATGTTTATACAACCGGATTTATTAATCATTACTTAGGTCAGATTCCTGCTCTGAGGAATATTTTCTCCTACAACAGTTAGCATGGCCCTGACCCCTGCATTCTGTGCCAACAAACCAAGTGTCCATTTCCTTTCTATGAAGCAAGGACAGGTTTCCACTGGTATTTTTTGCGGGTTTTTTTTCCTTTTAGTATGAGACTCTTGGGGTTGACTTTTCCATGTACTTGACACCTTGCCATCCAGTGCAGTCACCACTGAATCATTCTTCCTCCCCACTTGATCTAGAAGGAGAAACCCGCAGTATCTCAATTTCACCTGAGAAAAGAAGGAAAGCTGTTGTGTTGTGTTGTGTTGATAGAAGTCAGTACATGGTACATATGATGGAAAGCAAAAAGATGGAGATTCTGAGAGCCAACTGGGGACTGCTCCTCAAGAAACAGTCAATGGGTCATCCTCATGTTTAGGCAGATAGGTAGAATAGACAAGATTTTAATTTTTTTTTTTACTCTGTGCGGTCCTTGGTTGTCTCTCTGAGCTTGGTTGTTTTCTTGCTGGCATTTCGTTACCCAAACAAGGCAATAACATCATCAGCACAGTTTGGGTAATGAAACATTGGCCAGAAAACGATCAAGCTCAGAAAGCAGCAAGGACTCTTCATTTCAACCCTGAGCTGCAAATATTCTTCTCTTATCAGTTCCTTTGCTTTACTAATCTCTGCATCCTGATGCTTTTTAAACACAGAAAAGCGGAAGCAAGTGAAAGGGGCATTCTATGCACTTTAATCTGGTTTCTAAAACTCTTCACAGTGAAAGTAGTTCACGTGACTTACAAGAAGATCTAAATCGAATTCTGTTTTGTCTGAGTTTTCGTTTTGAGTGTGCTGCTCCTGTGACTTTCTTGAAAGGGAACCTCCAAAGGCAGACTACTCTTCCCAAATTGTCAGAATTAAGTTTTGCTTTGTTGCAATTGTAAAACAGCAGGCAGTTCTATTTCTCATTGAAATGGAGAAGAGCATAGTGGAAAACCCAAGGCCTTTCTTAAAAAAAAAAAAACAACTTACATTCTTTCTTCTCACAAATTACCTCACAGGTCCTCTTTCTCAAACAATCCTGTTTAGACATTTTGGATTTTTTTTTTTTAATTAGGGTGTTGCAACGGTTTCAGCCATGTACCATCTATTTAATGAATTTCACAAATTCACCATTTTAACTTCCTTTTTCATAGAGTATTGGGATGTGGAGAGTTACACTGTTGAGATATGCTGAATCATAGCTTAATCTCTGAAAATAAATTCGTATTATCTTTAGTGCTTTGTCAGAGTTGTGTAGTTCTCTAAATGTAGAAAAATACATGCAAAAAATATAGTTGCATAAGATTTCCTTGGTCTAATTTATAGATGCACCAACTTATTTTGAATAAATATTCAACAGATGTCATCATAGTGGGAAAGACCGGATATCAGTAAAACACGTTTTGTGATTTTGTGAGAACTTGCACAGTGAATAGACTTCTGTTCCTTCCTCCAAGCGTTCAGTTCTTTAACTCTTCTCTAATACCTCTCCCAGGCTCACCCCATTGATTTGGTGCACTGCTCCACCCGGGCTTGCTTGGGCAGGTCCCTCCATTGCAAAGGGCTCAATGGGGTGGACCTGCGTGACCGGCACCTAGAATGCAGCAGTGGTGGAATGTTTGAAAAGTAGAGCAAAGCCAGAGGTCAGTAAGTTTTGCTGCAAAGAATCACAAAAGCTTCTGGATTCTGCACAAGAAGGGACACACATGTCAATGCAATTCAGCAACATAAAATAAAGAAATGCAAATAAAACAAATCAACAAGAATCGGCAAAGCATCTCTGATTAGATTCTATTCACTACTAGAATCTAATCAGAGATGCTTTGCCGATTTTAGTCCAATGACCTGCTCCAGCAGAGTTAGAAGGGAGGGAGGGAGGGAGGGAGAGAGAGAGAGAGCATGGCTGTCAAAACTCCAAAAACAGGCCAAGTAGTTCTGGGGAGGCCAGTCATAAATTAGAACACTTGCTAAGCAATCATCCATTAAGTGAGGACTACTTGTATTTGGTTTGCCAGTCACCAAACCATGTCCACCCAGTCACGTGACCAGCAAGCCACACCCTCAAATTAGGCCATGCCCACAGAAATTTGAATTCCGCCCCTGGGTGGGGGGCATTGAGGATGAGTTTGTAGCACCAAGGGGACGGTGGGCTGAAAAAGTTTGGGAACCACTGTTCTATATTAATAGACCTTGGAAAGAAATTTGTTGTGTGTTTTCTTGTGACTCCTGTTACCATGATAACAAAGTCCTTCTTGGAATGAGGAAGCTATTTCTCTTGGATATTTTTTCTTCAGTCACTTCCCATCAGTTGACATTAATAGAAAACTCTTAATGTTTTCTAATAAAACTTAGAAAAAACAGCATTTTATGCAGCTAATCCAGTGGTGGGATTCAATTATTTTTACTACCGGTTCTGTGGACGTTGCTTTGTGGGTGTAGCTTTGTGGGCATGGCAGGGAAGGATATTGTAAATTCTCCATTTCCTCCCCACTTCTGGGAAAGGATACTGCAAAATCCCCATTCTCTCCCCACTCCTGGGGGAAGGATACTGCAAAATCACATTCCCTCCCCAACCCACTAACCTGCTTTCCAGCTCCGTTCTCCTGCGATTAGCTCAGTGGTGGTATTCAGCAGGTTCTGACCAGTTCTGGAGAACTGGTAGTGGAAATTTTGAGTAGTTTGAAGAACCAGCAAATCCCACCTCTGACTGGCCCCGTCCCCATCTATTCTCTGCCTCCCGAGTCCCAGCTGATCGACTGGGTCTTCTTTTGTTGCCCTGCACAGGAGAACGGAGCTGGAAAGCAGGTTAGTGGAGTGGGGAGGGAATGGAGATATTGCAGTCTCCATCCCCCTGGAGTGGGGTGGGAATTGAGATTTTACAGTATTCTTCCCCTGCCATGCCCACCAAGCCAAGTCCACAGAACCGATAGTAAAAAAAAAATTGAATCCCTCCACTCCAAGCAGCTTGCATCATATATGAACCATCAGTCTCTTGAATAATCTTGCTTGAGCAGATGAAAGAAGTGAGACACTTTCAGGATGATAACAAAGGACTTCATGTATCCTTACCCTAAAGAATCAAAGCCTTTTTCAAACGAAAATAGGATGTGCCATGTAAAATGGATAAAACTAATTTGTGGCACCAACCGTCCCTGATTAAAAGATACATAGATTTGTAGGGATAGAAAATTGAAAGACCCTCAGGCTAAAGGAATCTGGGGTTTAGTACTTATTTCACTATTTTCTATTATGTAGTGCTGTTATGAGGATCATATTGAGCTTTGGAATAACGATACATATAAACATGAACAGATACAGTATACAGGTAGAACATTATGGCATTGAGAGCAAAACCAGATGGTGATAATATATAGTCCTCGACTTACAACAGTTCATTCAATGATCGTTCGAAGTTAGAGTGGCACTGAAAAAAATGACTTATGACAGTTTTTCATATTTATGATCATCCAGCATCCTCATGGTGACCTGATCAAAAGTCAGAAACTTGGCAATTAACTCATATCTATGACAGTTGCAGTGTGTCCTGGGGTCATGTGATCACCTTTTGCAAACTTGTGACCTGCAAAGCCAATGCAGAATCCAGATTCACTTCACTTTGGGGATTGGGTGACCTAGTAATCTAGTAACCTAGTAAGTAATCTAGAACTTAACTTCAGACATACAAAGTCAGTGGGGAAGCCAGATTCACTTAATTTTTTTGGATTGGGTGACCTAGTAATCTAGTGACCATGTAACTAATTAAACAACTGCAATGATTCACTTGACAATTGTGGCACAAGGAAGAATGTAAAATGGGGCAAAACTTGCTCAACAACTGTCTTGCTTAGCAACATAAATTTTTGGGCTCGATTATATGTCAAGGACTCACTGTAACGAAGAAGTAACTTGAGATTTACTTGCATCATGGAAAGATTATGCAAGTGTGACATTGGACAGGTCTCTGGTGTTCTCTTCAGCTACTCAGTGTGAAAGGGAAGTTACTCAACATCCACACCCATCTGCCTTGAACTGATTTCACTGACAGCGTATTTCCCTGTCTAAATTATGCCATTCCATCTCCTCCAGCTTCAACAAAGACAATTGGTATAACCTTCCGCTAAGGGATTTTGCCTCTACGGCTCCAAGAGGTTGCAGGTCACAGAGGAACCCGTAGAAACAGGAAATGGAGCTTCCTCAGTCTACTTTCAAATACTCAAAAACCTGTTTCCTTTGTCTCCCGTAAACACAACCTCTCAATCCAGCAATCGGTTCAGATCCATGGTGAAAGCAACGGCACAAAGTGAAAGAGCTTAGACAGACTCTGTTGAGGACAATATGAAAGACATACTGAGGTTCTTGCAAGCCAAGAGAATGTGGGAGATATTTGCGATATTGCTTTTATTAACCTTGGGACGAAGCGGCGCAGAAGTCAATTCCACAGACCCAGCTTTGGTCACGACTTCGGATTCTAGCACGGTGGAAGTCAATCATCCAGGCTTGACTGTCCCTGAAATTCATAGTCTTGGAGGTGTGGAGGCAACATCCTCGATACCAGATTCTTCCAAGAATATCACTTCTGTGCTGGCTATAAAACAGGATGAACGGGATACAAAACATAGCAGTTTTACAACCCAGGAGGATATTCGAAGTTCCCCAACTCCAGTTACAACACAGCAAGGAGAAAATATCACCTTTAAAACTCCTAGCAGAGAAAAGGACAGGGATGGTAGTGTCCTCACAAATTCCAAGACATCGATCCTGCCTAAGGACGGAGGGAATCCAGCACAGATCCAACCCCGAAAGGGTCGTCTTGAAAAGGAAACACCGAAAAAACCAACTGTGAGCAGAACTTCCAGGCAACCGGGCTATGGCAGCAACAGCCACCAGCAGGCTAAAGATAACAGAAGCCCCAGCTTTGAAACTACCAGGGGAAAGTAAGCAGAAACATATTCTCTACATTTTTGTTTCTTTCCTTAGGAAGACTGGTGCACTTTATAGAATCAGGGGTGGGCTGCTGGGATTTGGCAAGGGTTCAGGAGAGCCCCTAGTTAAGATTCTGTGCAGTTCAGAGAAACCCCCAAATCCCACTCCTGGATGGCCCCTCCCACTCCACCCCGTCCCTCCCAGGAGTCCCCACGGGGCCCGTTTTGGATGCAGGTAAGTGCAGGGTGCTTGTGGAGGCTCAGGGAGGATGAAAAGCGGGCTTCCTGGAAGTTCTGGAAGGTTGGAAATAAGCCCATTTCCATCTTCCAGAGAGCCTCCGGAGCCTGGGGAAGCCATTTTCACCCTCCTGGAGGCTAGAGGAAAGCCTCTGGAGCCCGGGGAGGACAAAAAACACCCCCCCCGACCATGGCCACACTCACCCAGCAACTGGGCAGAGCACCCTTTGCTAAAATTTTTGAAGCCCACCCCTGTCTAGAATTCTTGGCAAAATGTCTTCTGTTCTTCCATAAGAGCAGAAGTCATGAGAGAGATGGCTGATTGATTGAAGCCACCCAACGGAGTCCTAGATAGAAAGGTATAACTCTGTTGAACTAGGCACTGCAGTGAAGACAGGGAAGGCAATTGTGGATAGTTTGGTCACATAGAATTTGAATAGAATAGAGCTGGAAGGGACCTTGGAGGTCTTCTACTCCAGCCCTTTGTTCAAGTAGGACACCCAATACCATTTCAGACAAGCGACTGTCTAGTCTCTTCTTAAGAAACCTCCAGGGATGGAGCACCCATGACTTCTGAAGGCAAGCTCTTCCACTGGTTAATAGTTTCTCCTTAATTTCAAGTTGCTTCTCTCCTTGATTAGTTTCCAGTCATTATTTCTTGTCCTGCCTTCTGGTGCTTTGGAAAATAATTTACCCCCTCCCTTGTTTGTGGCAGCCCCTCAATTACTGGAATACTGCTATCATGTCAGATAGTTTTGGTTATTTAAATTACACTGATTCTTGAGAAAAAATACAGCAATCTGCATGTCGGATTTCTAGCATCTTCTGCAATGCAAAATGTCCTGATCATTGATTAAAGTAAAGAGTAATAAATATAAAATATTTATTTTTAACTGTTTTAACAGCCGTTTAGGAAACCATGGCTGCAGATAGTATATTACTGCTTTGTAATTAAAGGTGAGCAACTGCAGTAAAGCATGTCCATGAAGTTATTGCTGTGAAAAAGTGGCTCGTGGAGTTTTTGTGTCAATGAGTTGTTGCTTCAATTAAATGTTGGAAGTCTTCCTGATCAGCTTCTTTGCTTCGGTTAGTAAATTCCTTGGCTCTTTGGCCAAGACTTTGGAAGGTTAAATTGAAGGAATGTTGGCTGCTATTTTGGCTCCGGAGGTTATAAGTTTGTCTTTTTGCTGTTAAATGACTATGTGGTCCTGCACTGTAGTTACTAATATTGATTTTATTGCAAGAAAATTTGATTGATGCAATATTGTTTTGAGCCACACAGAGTCAAGAGATGGAAATACATATGTGTGTGTGTGTGTGTGTGTGTGTGTGTATACTTACACACACACACACACACACACACACACACAAAAGTAAATTATTAAAAATAAACCCATGAGGCAAAGAAGCAATATGGCTGTATTTTGTTTCATTTTAATGGGCTACATCAAGAAAGCAAAATGCTCCTTTGAAGATCCATACAGCACTACTAATGACGTTGGCAAAGAGAGAGAGAGACAGAGAGGAAGACAGGGAGAAGGAGGGGGAGAGGAGGGAGGCAGGGAAAGAGAGAGAGAGGGAGGGAGAGAGGGAGGGGGGGAAGGGAGGGAGGGAGGAAGAGATCACTCCATTGATTTGGGGCAAGCCATCATTTAATAGAATAGAATAGAATAGAATTCTTTATTGGCCAAGTGTGATTGGACACACAAGGAATTTATCTTTGGTGCATATGTTCTCAGTGTACATAAAGAAAAAATAAAATACATTCATCAAGAATCATAAATACAACACTTAGTGATAGTCATAGGTTACTAATAGGCAATCAAATAATACTGGGGACAATAAAACAATATAAATTGTAAAGATACAAGCAACACGGTGATAGTCATAAGTTGGAAGAGATAGGTAATAGGGAGGATGAGAAGAATAATAGTAATACAGTCTTACTAAATAGTTTGACAGCATTATGGGAAATTAGTTGTTTATCAGAGTGATGGCATTCAAGAAAAAAATTGTCCTTGTGTCTGGTTGTTCTGGTGTGCAATGCCCTATAGAATCGTTTTGAGGGTAGAAGTTGAAACAATTTATGTCCAGGATGTGAGGGGTCTGTAGATGTTTTCACAACCTTCTTTTTGACTCGTGCAGTATATAGGTCCTCAATGGAAGGCAGGTTGGTAACAATTGTTTTTTCTGCAGTTCTAATTATCCTCTGAAGTCTGTGTCTGTCTTGTTGGGTTGCAGAGCCAAACAGTTATAGGGTCAGATGACAGACTCAATAATTCCTCTGTAGAACTGAATCAGCAGCTTTTTGGGCAGTTTGAGCTTCCTGAGTTGGCACAGAAAGAACATTCTTTGTTGTGCTTTTTCGATGACATTTTTGATGTTAGATGTTAAAATGTTGCAATTAAATTCCAGTATCACAACCAGTTGTTGTCAGGAGTACACTATATATTCCCTTTGGGAAACCTTCTGCATTTACCTGAAAAACATAAGAACAGATTGAATTGACTCAATAAACATTGATCAACTGTCACCCACTTTCTTTCAAATGTTTTGGTCCAGTTCTTGATGGATGGTTCCAGACTGGGAAATGCTGCCCCCTTTCAAAATGTCCTTGCCTTAGTTAAACTATACAAACTATAATATTTCCTAACGCCATGGAGAGAAAGGTGGCTTATTTCCTCATTCTGGTCCCTTCTCCTTTGGCCCATCCTGCTTTCTTTAGTGACCCACTTTTCAGAAGCATCTCTTCAGGAAAGAGAGATCAAAAGTCTACTTGGTGGTGACATCTCTTACAGTTTCATAAGGTTAACAAGTCTGTTTGACACCTCAGATAATTGGAAACTTTTCTTCAGATGCATTGCAGGGAGTAGATTGTATTCTGTAGTGATTGCATAGATTCAGTCCAGGCATCGCTTTCTTTGACTAATATGAAAGCCAGAGGCTGTGGTGCTATAGTTTTTTTTTTTAATAGAGAGACTAGTATGAGATAGATAAAAACAGAAGCTGCCCAAGAGGTGGGATTCTACAGGTTCGGACCAGTTCAGGCGAACCGGATGTTAAATTTACATCTGGTTTGCTGAACTGGTAGTTGAACAGACTAGCTGACCCCGCCCACCCCTCCCCTCCCCTCCCAGGAGTCTCCACACGGTCCATTTGCAAGTAAGTGAAGGGTCTGTGCAGAGATTCTGTGAGGGTGAAACCAGGCCTTCCAGAAGTCCGGAAATGGGCCTGTTTCCAGCTTCCAGAGACATTGTTAAGTGAGTTTTTCCCCATTTTACGACCTTTCTTGCTACAGTTGTTAAGTGAATTACCACAGTTCATAAGTTAGTATTATTTATTTATTTGTCAAAAGCTTACAATATAACAGAAACAAGAATAAGCATAAGTTTAAATACAAGAAATAGGAACTGATAATTGGGGACAATAAAACAGGGACGGTAGGCACGATTGTGTGCTTATGTACACAATAACCCGGTTGTTAAGTGAATCTGGCTTCCCCATCGACTGTGCTTGTCAGAAGGTCGCCAAAAGGGGTCTCATGAGCATGAGACACAGCAACGGTCCTAAATATCAGGCATCTGAGTTTTGATCACATGATCATGATGAAAGAAACAAAAGGTTATGGTATTTATGGTATTTATGTAGTTACTGACCAAGCACCCCTAAATTACATTAAAGTAACCAAAATATCTTTACGTCACAACTTTTGAGCACCCCTAGTGTTTGGAAATTGAAAGTTGAAACATTGGACATGCCCTAAAGTGTGCAAGGATCATGACTGTGAAAAACAGTCATAAGCAGTGGTGGGATTCAGTCAGTTCGCACCACTTTGGGAGAATCGGTTGTTAACTTTCTGAGCAGTTTGGTGAACTGGTTGTTGGAAGAAATCATGAGGGCAGAGAACCGGTTGTTAAATTATTTGAATCCCACCATAAGTCATATTTTTCAGTGCTGTTGTAACTTTGAATGGTCACTAAATGAACTGTTGTAAGTTGAGGACTATGTTGTACTTCCAATTATTCTCACTCAATACTGGCCTAGAAGCTAGGGATGGTAAGGCTGTAGTACAGTGTATTTGGATGGAGCCACACTACAGATGGAAACCTCACCTTATTAATTATAATAAACTTATATATCTGCCTGTGGAACAAAATCAAAATAATATAAATTTTGCACACACACACACACACACACACACAAACACACACAAAAAAACTTTGCAGATCTCATGAAGACTGCAAAGAATCTCTTGGAATAAGTTGTTACGCTTCTGTTTCAAGTACTGCACAGTGAAAATCCATTTCACTGCCATATATAATCTGATGTATTAGATTTTGATCCCACTTGTTAGGGATACACCTTAGCAGAATCTGCACAGCAGTCAGGCAGGCAGGCAAATATGTGAGATAAACGTTTTTGTAGCTTACACTCAGTAAAACAGATACACAGTGCTAGTTAAATATTTTATTCCAGCAAGAGTTTTAGCATAGTCAAACAGTCCATATATCATTCACTAATTCAGTCCGTCCGGGGATTATTCAGTTGCAAATTCCAGTGTCGAGAAAGAGAGGTCAGTAAACTTACAAATATCAGTCCAGTAATATATCTCCTCGCAGTAGAGATATGAAGAAGTCACACCTCCTTTCTTCCTCCAGCAACTCAGCAGCAGGGAAAACACGCAGTTAACAAACCATCAATTCATCAAACCAGTAATCATCAGGAATCGTCAGGAATCGTCAGCAATCAATCAGGTTCTCTTGCTCCCTCTTATG